CACAGAAAATTATTATTTCAATCAGTTTATTTGAAAGATTTACTCTCAACTTCCAAATTGAATTCAGTTGTATTTTATTCCCAGAAGTGACGAAAGAAGTTTAAAAAAATGCAATCCTTACTCAAAAGAAAACCACATAAGTTCAAATTTTCAAAAACCTAATCAACGACTCAGCCTCTCTTCGTCTTGATTCTTCTGTCTGATTTCTAAAATGCACCTTCCCTTCGAACAGATACAACGTCTCAATAGAAATTTTTGGCCGCGAAATCGAACACCACTTCTGAAGTGATAGTAAATACCCCTTTTAACGACGGCAGTATTTATTAATGTAACCAAAATACATAAAATATCCCTCTCACGCACAGATTCAACCTTTCTTGTTAGTGTAAATAATCAAGTGTTAATATTCATGAAGGACACATATTTCAGCATATTCACTGCCAATATGATGGCAAAATGTCATATACAAATGGCTAAAACTAGAGTTCCTGAATGTACTTGACACTGCTGTTTTGACGTTTTTTGTATATTAGAGTACGGACACTATGACAAGCACTGACAATCAGACATAACCACAAATAAATTGATGGAAAAAGCGGGAACTGACAGTACACGGACGTACATGACATAAATTTCAAAGGTTTCACAAATTGAGAGAATTAGGAGAAATATGCAAAGTTGTGCAGTTTTCAACTGTCAGAACACGGGAAATCAATTCACTCTATTCGAATTTCCATCGGTATTCAAATTTTATCACATGACGGAAGTATGTCCGGAATAAAAGGAGCAAATAAATCGCTGTGCCGTGAATTTGGCTCAGACTGTGGGTTGGCCCATGTAGGTTTTTGAGATTTGCCATCCAATTGGTATCGGAAGGCATCATTCTCATCTCGTTATCAAATCGCGAAATCGAGTGCAAATTTTCGTACAGGAAAGTGAATTTTTTTATAATTTTGCTCAAGATAATGATTGGCACAGATGTCGTTCGATTAACGACAATGTTTTCACTTTCCTTTGGGACATACACACACTGGCACAATTAGGGCAACGGGTAAAATTTAAGTTTGACATCAATTTTCTCTCGAACCGATCACTCGATTCAAATTTGTTTTTCACGAATTGTGGCTTCATTCTTCACGAATACATCTGAGATATGAGCACCTCCGAACGATTCGTCTATATACCATATACAGGGGTGTAAATAAAGTACGGATTTTTTGGTATTCTTTAAGACATCCTGTGGAGTGAACCCCTGATAATTGAAACGATTTTCCAACACCAAATTATAGCCCAATCTATCCCGAATATTTTCGTTTTTTATTCATCTCGATATCCCAATTATCCAAGAGAATATAGAGTTTAAAAGAAGAGTTGGATATTGGTATTAATTTTACCACCTCGAAACTCGAACTGAGGAGAACGTGTCGTTTTTCAACTTGTTTCTGTGAGGATTTTTACTTCAAGATGAGAATTGTTCACAGTTTCACTTATCGGTTTACTGTTTAAAGACACATATACGAATACTCTCATGAATATGCAATGCTGATAAAAGTTGCTGCAATGTTCTTTTGGTGAAATGCTATTTTTGTTAATCAACGTTGGCTATTTTGTTAATGTCATTAATCATTGTCAGAGTCAAGTGATTCACAATTCATAAATTTGATTAATGAAAATTCAACGTGAGAGATTTGACTACTACTGATGTGGCTGTAGCATTAATTGAAAATGACCAGTGGGCCAATGTTCTTTTAACATAATGAGAGCCGCATCTGCACCAATTCAATAGATGGCAGGGAAAGACTATATCGCCGAGGTGAACAAAATGAACAATTTGATTTCACTGCTTCTGTCTCCTATGGCAGAGGTTTAGTCATGGTTAGGTTAGTCAAGAAACGACACATTTTCAGATCCAATTTGAGTTTTGAGGTGTAAAATTGATACCAATATCCACCTTTCCTTTGAAACTCTGTATTTTCTTGAATAATTGAGATATCAAGATGAATAAAAAACGAAAATATTCGGAATAGATTGGGGTACAATTCGATGTTGAGAAACCGTTTCAATTATCAATGTTTCACTCCACAGGATGTCTAAAAAAATACCGAAAAATCCGTACTTTCTTTACACCCCTGTATATGATGGAAAGACTCATCGTTTGATGGTAATTATTTCTCAGATGTATTCGTGAAGAATGAAGCTACATTTCGTGAAGAAACAAATTTGAATCGAGCGATCGGTTCGAAAGAAAATTGATGTCAAGCTTAGTGTAAATTTTGCCCGTTCCCCTAATTGTGCCAGTGTGTGTATATCATTTCGTTATCAGATGACGGTAGAAAGCTGCAGCCAGCTCTCCTACTATAAGAATCAACCCAATTCAAGAGCATCAGCTCTTGATAACGTGATACATCGATAAGCACCAATAGTGACCTATTTCGCAACAACGAATGTGAGCATAACCACATAGAAAGAATTATTAATAAAAAACCACATTAGATCTAGCGGATATTGCGGAAACTCAAGGATGAGCTTCAGATTAATCAATAATTGTGTTATCTGCTCTCAAGTATTCTCAGTATGATAGAACTAGGTTCGGATTTTGTGAAAAGTTCACCCTTCTCAAAGTTGGAAGTGGAATGGTGATTGATTTGTTTCTACAAACATCGACTTCCTCAGTGCCGATATGACGAGTCACAAACGAATATACAGCCTGACTGAGAAAAATCGGCCCCAAGCAATCTATCCGATTTTGAAAAACAAAAAGCATATGAAATGATTCATCAGATACTGCGAGAGGGGTCTGATTATATATTTTTTTTAATATCAACAGTAACGTCAGCGAGTGTCAACTTTTTTTTCGAATGGCACCAAAATTATGTTTTTTTTTTTTTGTTCGAGATCTTTATCCTGAATATAATGATATATGACAAGTTGACATTTAGACAATATCGATTGAAATACAAAATAAATGTTCAGTTGAGAAGAAATAGATATTTTCATGAAATTTTGGGGTGTATCAGTGAAATGAATGTCATTTTTTCATTCGTCAAATATTTCAGCATCACATATAATTTTGTGTTTGAACATTTTTTTTACAGCACACTCTAAAATCATATGCGTTATCAAAATATGTGACAAATGAAACACTGACGTTCATTTCGGTGACATTTTCTACGACATTTGATAAAACATCTAAAAATTTTATGAAAATATCAATTTTTTGTCAAGTGAGTATTCATTTTTTATCTCAACTAATTTTGTCTAAAAAATCAACTTGTCATACATCATAGTATTCAGAATAAGAATCTCAAAGGAACATAACATTGAAGATATTTTTATGTTCTGGTTCCCACGAAAAGGGATATCCTGTAATGTTCAGAGAACATCGTGAGAACCAAGGGAAATAAGGTATGAATTGGTGTTCTTCTTAAATTTCTGGAGGTTATATGCCTCGGGGAACACCTCCCTTGGCAATGTGTTCCAGAGCCTCGCTGTTCGTTGGATGAACGAGTGTTTGGAAAGAGATGTTCTGCAGGTTTCCAAAGTGTCATTAAAATAAAAAGTTGACAATCGCTGACGTTACAGTTGAAATACGAAAAATATTGATCAGAGCCTACTTAGAGTATCTGATGAGTTTCATTTGCTCTCTGATTTTTCAAAATCGGATAGTTAATAGAGGCGCTATAGCTTGGTCCGTATTTGTCATTCAGCCTGTATATTACAACAATTCTTACAGGTCATATCATACTTGCGAAGTAAATTTTAGATTCACTTCTTCCAATCAGTTGTCTGATTTTTTATACTAGCAGGTACGGTCAGAAACTTTTTTCCTGGCGCATTTTTAATGCCGTTACTGAAAATTCGAAATTAGCTTCAGACATAGTTATGATCGACTTGAATATCTTCAAAAATGCTTCTATATGTTTTCAACTTTAAAAAGATCGATTTGAATGAGAGTAAATTTGAATCCCTGAAAAACAAATTGAATGGAAAACGAAAAAACTCCACCGCTCCATGTGAGAGTCGAACTCAAAACCTTTGGGTTACTTGCCAACGCTTTGCCAATTGAGCTCACGTCGATCAATCGGTAGGAAGGTTGAGTTCTCATCACACAACAGAGAATCCTCTCAATTCCCGAAGTCACTCAAACCATGTTATCATCCTATATATTCTTCAACTAATAATTCACTGAAAAATTGCTCGAGATATATTTACAATAACAGGTAGGAAACTCATGTCAATATGATGTCCCTGAAGTCTTGAAAATCAACGTGTCTGAGCATCATGAATGACTTGACAGATGAACCTAACCATGCATTCGGAGATTATCGCTTCCGTTCGGCTGTTAATCAATAAGTTTCAAATGGTTAAAATTTCACTTAGAAAAAATCAAATATTCAGTTCTAAATTGTTATTCTCAACGGTATGATCAGACATTTATAAATATGAGTCAACAAAAAAACCTATATTTGAATGGAAAACCCCCCCTATACAAGTTTCTGCAAAATAAGGTACATTTTTTCATTGTTCTGAGAAAGTTAGGAAATATTCAATCAAGGGGGGTATCTTCCTATGAATTTTTGCTACGGAAACTATAAGCTTCAGCTTCAGACCCTAAGTATCACACATTTTTGATAACTGCACATCAAGGAGAATTCATGAAGAATATAAAGAAGCAAAACTATAAAGAATGATCAATTTAAAAAAAGTGTGCGAGATGCTCTGATGGTGAATGTGAATATGGCTGAATGTGTGTGAGTCCTGGAAAGTCACACATCTCATCTCCATCACTCACGCCCAGGAAATTTCCGGCAAATCAATTGAAATCTGTTTTGCTTGTCACATTTTGAATATGTATTCATGCAGTTGTTAATTGAACGATTCTGATTTTCTGGTGAATCATACATCGATCAGGTTGGGGAATCATCTCATATCATACAAGAACAAAAATAACAGTGGCTTTGAGAATTTTCCTTGTGGAATATTGCATTCAATTTACTTACTTGCCAATGAATCTGCTGGGCTTTTTTCATGACTATTCATTTCACTTGGTCGGAGTAAACTTTTAAAAGCAGTTGATATACTGTGGAGCATCAAATACTGAGTCAAATCATTGGCTTTAGATAGGCCCTGAAAACTCAACCTGAAAATAATGTTTGTCAGTGTACTGGAAGAAAACGAGATTAATACTCAGCCTGTCATTATCTTAAGATACGATATAAAAATTTGAAGAATTTCATTTCTTCAGATGCAAATTCTGAGAACTAAAACACCTAACAGATGACACCCTAACCACACTAGTGCCACTACGTGGAATCAATTGATAGTGCTTTCGGTCGAACCGGAAATGACAGTCGAGAGTTTGATTACCCAAAATCTTCATCAGAAACAACGATACAACTTCCAAAAATTTTGAATTGATATATTTCGATGCACCAAAGAAGTCCTGAGACGAAATGAAGAGCATGTCGTTAAACAAAAGACGTCCAATCCTCGAAGCTTAGAGAATCAACTTGGTTTCACAGATGACGTCGATTTCATTCACTGATGTATTATATGATTCACTGCACTTTTTTACTGATACCAGCATTTCTAGTGAGCCCTGGAGATTCTTTTTTTTTAATTGACAGTGATTTTAATGACCTCAACTTTCATATTGCACAGTTGGCTCACATTCTTTCCAGAGTACATATTTGGCAAGACAGACTATTATATCGTTTCCTTTGAAAATTACAGACTGGATTAATCTTGTATTGGATATGATGAACTTGTCAAAATATATTTTCTGCTAACGTTTGGTGTTGGTATCTACACCATTGTAATGGTATGAATTTCAAATCAAAAAAATCACATGTCGAGATTGAAGGTTCGTTCATAAGACCTGAACCGAATCAATTAACATGTATTCTTTGCATTTATGGTCAATTCCCAAACCTAACACTTGGTAGTGAATAAAAGTGAACAAGAAGAACTGGAATTTTATTCGATCACATTGTTCAGTTGAGGTTCATAATATGAATCTGATTTCATTCAACGTGTACCCAACAAGTATCAAATCTACTTCTTCCTAAAAACTGAAAAATGCCGAAACTATAGCATGCAAGTCCGTTTTTCATTATGAAAATTTAATTTATGTATATAAATTCACGGAAGCCGCTGTGATTATGTCATTATGATAGCGAAAAAACGTTGCCCTAACTTTTCTAGCGACGAAACGGAAACTTAACATTTGAAAGCATAACAATCAAAACTCTAAATAAATTTTGATGGTGTTTCTGCCATTTTTTCTTAAACTTGCGCTGTCAGAAAAGTATCTAATCTGTGGAAACGTCGCGATTTCGAGTCTTCGAGTGGAGAAAAAAAAACATCAAAACAATAATGTGACATGTATTCATCAAATCGTCATACCGAATTCCACTTGAGCATTTTTTTAGTGGGAGTAAACTTGAAATTTAAAAGTTGATTTTTATGCCTTTAGGAAACTTAAATTTCCAGGTGAATGAAACAAACTGAATTTGAACCTAACGATCAATTTAAAGGCAATCGACCTCGGAAACAACAAAATTTCGCATGCGGCGCTTTTTTGCTTCCTGTCACCCCCGCTCCACGAATTACCCCCCTCCCTGAAAAAAAAGCTATACGCGCCTGAGTTGTCAAGTTCTGTCTGTTCTGACCGTCTATCGAAAGAGTGAATTGAAAAATATATTTAATAGAATAATGAATGCTCTAGAACAGTGCTAAGTGCAAGTACCCAGGTGCCGCTTAAAAAAATGAGATTTGGAGGACCGCATTTTAGAATACATGCATCTTGATTAGTGAGTTTTAATAGATGCTCTAGAATGAAGTTGCGATTTATGATTAGTGAATGGGTTGCGTGCAAGATCTGTCAGATGACTGACCCAGGAGGTAAAACATTGAAACACAATCTCACTTCTCTTATTTGTTTACAAAGGATTGAAATAGTGTCACGAATAGGGTTATTTTCCTTAATTTCATTCAGATTCATAGAAGGTTCGAAGTCATTGAACGGTCACGTCTTTGTTTATTAATTCCAAAATTTTCGATTCGTGAACGAACTTTTTTTCCATAGTAGTTGAACATAAACACAGGCGTGACATTGACTTCAACGAACCTGGACTATCGACCTGATTTCCTTACGGTCATGTTTCCGAAAATATAGACAACTATTTAAAAGACGGAAGGAAGAGGGTTCGACAGTTCGGCTACCGGTTCGACTGCGAGTTGGACTGCAAGTTCGAGTTCTAGTCCTGTTTTTTGAGTACGAGTCCGGAAAGTTTGAGTTTTATCAATTGTAAGTTTGAAAAGTTGCCACTGTGCCCGAACCTTCAAAGTTCGGGCAGAACACACGATGCCCTTCTTCAGGCCCCAAGAAATATCAGTTAATTTGTAAATATAGGGTAAGTTTAGTTTTTATTGATTGTTATTTATTTCCAAGAATAATATTATTTATTATTATCACTTTTGAAGTTCATTCCCTAATGGATCTAGAACACAACTTAGGCAACCCCCGCCTACAGTTTGTGACAATAGTTTTTCACAATATTATGGCATGCTAATCGTGTTTTTCACCTATTCATTAATTCAGGCATGCTGTTGGACAATGCACAAAAAATGCAGCGAGTGATGAAGGAATCCGATTTTTCAGGTAGGTACATACCAACATTGTGATCTATATCATCTATCTATGTGATCATATAGTTTTTATTTTAGAATTATGTCATTTCTCATTGGAATCCCTTCTGCAACAGGAGTTGATAGAAATACTCGTGAAGTTTCTAAAGGAAGGCAAGAAGATTGGATTCATGCAAGCAAACGGGAGGACTGATCTGACTTGCTGACGAAATATGATCATGTGTGTTGTAGACATTTTCACTGTATCAGCAGTATTAGCTTCTATTGCAGAAATGGCAGGAGGAATTCTAATGAGTAATGACAATATTTCATAATGAAAACTATGTGAGACCACTATATACCTGAAAAATCATATTTCTTCGTCTCTCACTGCATTTTTTGTGCATTGTACATCAGCACAATGTGATGGCATGCTTGAATTAATGAATAGCCCAAAAACATTATTCATATGCCGAAATATTGTGAAAAACTAGTTCAATCTTTCGATTCCTTCGTAAAGAAATAAGAAAAGTGAGGTTGTGTTTCGATGTATTACAGGAAAGTGAGGTTGTGTTTTAATGTTTCATCTCCAGGGTCGGTCATCGTGCACGAGGTAGCCAAGGTTATCGTCTGACGTACCGATGACATGAAAACTACGGGAAAACATTCTCAACTCCTGGCTTAGATTGAAAGTTTGACGTGTTTTACCGTAGTTTCTATGTCATCGCAACGTCAAATGATGACCTTGGCTAAAGATCATAACCTTAATCTTTTTGACAAAGTGAACGGAATTATTTGAACCTCGTCTTTAGTCATGACAACTAGATCAATGATACAGAGAAATTAATTCTTATTGCTTTCGGTTTCAGTTTGATCAGTTCAGTCATCAGGGTTCAAAACGAAATGATATCACCATTATTAAATGGTGTTTTTAACTGTCACGTGATCCTGATTAGCTATCAAATAGCTATCTAGAACCAATGATGGAAATAAGTAGATGGTATGCGTATTCGGCCATTTTTACGTATTGAAAGCTTAAGAAAAATCACTCGACCGCCTACTATGATTTCTCTACGTCTCATCGAGCGAGACGTTGATTCTACATTTTTCCGCTAGATGGTGATGCTGCTAATGCTGCTGTGACGAGTGGAAATAAAATGGCAAATGGCATTTTAGGTATGCGGAACATATGTAACAGTGGGTTTATTCAACTCTGAATTTGAAAAATCTGCAGCAATCTAGAAATTGACAGATGTCATAATTGTGCAATGTCGTTATCTATCCGAAAACCACTGAAAACATTGTTCTCGGGACTCTCGGGAGGTCGAGAAGAATTTCTGAAACAAAAGCGCATCAGTAAGTACACCATCTACTTATTTCCATCATTCTAGAACCTCTCCTGAATACTAGAGTTCCTAAGTACTTGACACTGCTGTTTTGACGTTTTTTGTATATTAGAGTACGGACACTAGACAAGCAGTGTCAATCAAACATAACCACAAACGATTTTGAAGCAAATCATAAGTTTTGCCAGACAAGGACAAGAATATGTTTTTCGCTTAGATAAAGGATCCTCGCATCTTACTTCCTCCACAAGTCCTGGGAAGAGTACATCCATATATCTTTCTCTGTCTTTGATTTTTGTATGAGAGTGCATAGCGTCTCCTCGAGTGGGTAAAATGGTACGATAAATTGATTAGAACATTATTTCTTCTCGAAATATTGATCGATAAGGACCTCATTGGAGGTCGATATCAAGTTGGAATGTACATATATACCAACGAAATACATATACTATTCCTATGAAATATGTTTCTTTCATGTAGGTATATATATATACGTTCAGTTGAATATTTTTTTATCACAAAAGTTCAGAATGGGGTATAAACTGTTAGAATAAATAATGAAGGTTTTCCAAGACATATGGAAATGGATATAAATGGACTTCAGCGCCTCGACTCACTGGCCGTTCACATTGCTAGTTTTTTCTTCTATTTGTTTCCTGAATTCCTGACTCTCTTCCACGCGTAAACCTTGGATTTTTAATATTCCTGCTCTAAAAATTCGAATCTGCAAGTTTTTCGTTTCTTGTTGGGTCTAAATTGGAATAAGGTTCTTTTCGATACTTGCTCAGTTCATACATTGTGGGTTGGGCTCGTTTTCTCAATACGATCCTATTCTTCAACATCACATCTTCCGTTCTGAAGTGTACCTGATAAAAATGCGTTGAAAAATGTTCTATATCCTACCAAGAAATTTGAATACCTCGCAAATTTTGCGGCCTGAACCTATTTTCCATGCCGGCCGCATCATATTCTATTTCCATTTTTGTAGAATTATGTTATCCGATGGAAATTAATAGAGTGAATTGATTTCCCGTGTTCTCATAGTTGGATACTGCACAAACTTGCATCATTCTCCTAATTCTCTCAATTTGTCAAACCTTTGAAATTTATGTCATGTACGTCCGTGTACTGTCAGTTCCCGCTTTTTCCATCAATTTATTTGTGGATATGTCTCTCTTGTCATAGAGTCCGTACTCTGATATACAAAAATGTCAAAACAGCAGTGTCAAGTACATTTAGGAACTCTACTGAATACAACAGTGGCGCGAATTGGAAATCGCATTTGAGACAACGTTTCACTGAATATTCTATAGTCTAAAATACGGGCATTGCTAAAACTGACCTGTACAATGACGTCTTAATGCACAAGTACTGCACGTAGAAAAACTGCTGTACCGACGGCGGCTGTCTATTGAAACTCTCTGTCAGCCTGTCGCAAATGGCGTCGAGCATCCCGGGCCTCAACACCAACAGAAAATCCAACCAATCGAAGCCGCTCATCAGGCAGTACTCCAAAATGGTCGTGCAATAAGGTACGCTCAGCGGGGCAGAGCTCTCTATCTGCGGCGGCAATTTGAAAAGGTGGAGACTGTCGTCCGAATCGACGCAAAGCAGCACGTTACCAAGCCAGGACATGTCGATACTGGCTATGTTGGTGCTGACTTTTTGGTACTTGGAATTGGGCTCGTCCAGGTAACGCGGAACGACCGAAAGGGTGGTGTACGCGATTTGTTTCAGGGTGTCTCTGTACAAACAGTGGATGGAATTGTCGGCGAATGTGACCACGACATATCCATTGGATATGTTGTTCAGTAGGCTGAGCTTGCTTGTGGCGAGCGAGGTAACTTTGTTATTATATTGGAAGTGGCATTGGTACTGCCAGAGCTGCAAAATATTCAAGGACTTAAAATCTACTTATTCCAGTATTGATGAATTTTCATAACGGTTTGAGTTTACTAGGTACCCCAATTCAAATATTGAAATACACCTACGTACAACAGTCCAACAATTTTTATCGAGGTGCTAATTATAGACAGAAAGGAGTCACTAAGCTGAGTCAATGTTTTTGTCCTATAAGTTTTATACCTATATACAGTGTGTGCGATTTCAACTCGCAACACCCCCTAATTTGGGATCCGTCACCGATTTTCAAAAGCAAAAATTCGATAATACACTACTCAACGAGCTCCCTTCTTCAAAAATGTGGATGAATCTGCAATTAAAATTGGACCAGAATTTCAAAAACGACTATTAGGCTATATTAGAAGAAGTAGGTAGCCTATATGATTCAGCCATAGCTGAAATACCGCCGTACAAAATTATATCGCAGTAGCTCAATGGCTAATTTCAAAATTTTGGTATTTCAATCCACCCTGTATCAAATACTGAGGAGTTATCAGTGAAGTAATCGGTGAAGTAATCATTCAATCAATCACATTGAATACTCAGATACAGAGTTTATCATTGTAACTTCAACAGTATGATCTCGTTAGGTCAACCAAACATTTAAAAAACTGAAGTTGACATTTTTTCATCATTATCATTTTTTGTGCTGAAAATATAAATAATAGTAAGTAACTTATATGAGGAAATATTCTTCATACTATACCAATTCTCACACAAGCCCCTCAAATTTTCATTTCATTTCACCAAAATCGGTATACACCGGGTTTATAGTTTTTTTATTTGAAGAGATAAAAATTCGAAATTCTCATGGGTTATATTATCGATGATGGCGCTTACCTTGAACCCAATGACAAAGTAGACCCAACTTTTAATTTTCAAATGACAACCTGTATATTTCTGTAGCCTATCTTTTTGGCTAGAAATTCTCTATTCAACTATGTATCACAATTTGATATTCGTTTATTATTTGACTGTTAAATTGCATTTTATTGAAATACATGAAGTTGGCTGTGGCCCGAATGCAATGACATTTTGATGCTTGATAGGCTTAAAAATCCAAAGATCATTATCTAGACGATATTATCAGACTATTTTCCATACCCTAATCGGTCCCAGAAGATTGCCAATAATTTCATTGAGTTTAAAAAAATCATCCGAAAATAACTTACGATATTGAGAAAACTAAGATAGAAACTTAGTTTTTTTACATTTGGCTACTTGTGAAGAAACTATTTTGTCTTTCATTTTTGATATGTAGCCATATTATGATCATCCATTTGGATACATGAAACTGAAATTGTTGTAATAATTGATGTATCGTCCTATTATCGTGAGTTATTATCGGATTTGCCATTGAATAACTAACACCCTGAGGTGTTGCGTTATTTCAAACCCTTCTTACCTCGCCTATTATCAAGTTTATGAAATAGTTTGTGTTATCATGGAATCTCAATGATAAAATCAGGTAAACGCAGTTTCATTTCACAAGATATTATTTGCAATCAAACAGTGATATGATAAATGCATATTTTTTTGCGATAGACAATATAAAATACTATCGTGATAGATGTTGGTTCACTTCTCTGTCTCAGAATCCGAATGAATGATGTTCATAGCTTTTCAAGTTCACTTCGGTGGTACACAGCAAATGAGAATGTGAAAATGTTATTGATACAAATAGGGTTGGCCACACTAGTCAAATTAACGTCACATACCTATTTTCTATTCATCAAAAATACATAGTTTTTCCCAAACAACCGATGAGAACAAGAATAAGTTCGACTGTAGAAGTGTACTGAGATACACAAAATAACATACATACTAAAACAACCCATCTATCTCAAGCTAATAGCCTTGGAGAGCAGATGCCATAAAAAAAAGACGATGATCCATTCTAACTACATCAAAACTGCAGATATCTGAAGGATAATTAATTATCAGATTATTAGATTATTAAATTGTGCTATCGGCACTAAAGTATTCAGTCTGAATGATCTAGGTATTGATTTTGTAAGGTAATCTACCCGAAGTTGAGAGTGATTGATATTTTTACAAACATTGACATCCTTCCTGAGTGTTTGAATGAGAAAAAAAAAACAAATGAGCTCCGAATGAGCTGAGAACTCACATACTGCAATCATCTCACAACGATATAGGTCATGTTGTTATTGTGAAGCTATTTTCGGATTTCCTGACTCGAATAACTATTTTCTTTATTTGATGCTAGCAGGACCAGTAAAAAAATTATGCCAAATGCCAAGTATCTGCTTTTGTATCCATATCGTCTATGCCTGATGATTGCCAAACAAAATTCAAAAACAAAGATTGAATGAATCACAAAATTAATAATTCACAAGTTGAGCAAGTTTTTTCTCTTCAAGAGTAAGAAATCCGTCATTTTGATAGGAAGGTATAGGTTATGTCAAAATGTCATTGCCAAATAATATGAATGACAATTTGATGGTTATCCATACCAGTCAAATACGGTAAAAATAGCAAGACCAATAGCTGAGATATAAAGGGAGGTTCCTACCAAAGTGAGACACATGCTGTACATAATTGCATTGTTTTCCCGCGTTGTGAATGTTGTGAAATATCATGGATTTCAATAATTATTCAAAAAATAAACAGAGCTCTAAAAAAAACTAGTTTGGGTCAGTACTTCCAAATATCAAAAAACAAATGTTGACTGAATCAGGACCATTGTTTTGCTTTTAGGAAAACAGGAACTTTGTTTTGCATTTAGGAAAACATATTAATATAAACACATGCCTGCCAAATCACTTACCACAGTGTTGTAGAATTGGGGAGTTTCAGAATTTCCCATCAGTGACTTGTGCACAGGGACAGCCTTTTCTCTGAGTTCCCAGACTTGAAGGCAACTCATTTTTTGACTACTAGCAGTAACAACCAATGAATCGGCATCTTCTCTCATTATCCATTTGATATGACTCACTGTGCAATTTTTCTCCTTCCTCAGTTGATCCACTGAAAGAGAATTTTTATCGATTTCAATTCAGTTTGATTTTGAAACAATCTATGAGAAATTACCAAGAATTCCCTAGTTTTGTTGAAAAATAAACGATACTCACTCATTGCTTCTTTTGGAGCTCCAAATAAGAAGAAGCTCAACAAAGACTGACTTTTGATAGTACACTTCTCATCCTCTTTTTTTACTGACACTTTATAACACTGTATTGGCATAGCAGGATCTCCGCTACTAACAGCTATCAAAAAATGACCATCTGTAACATACAATATATCATTGCCAAGTAGTAGACAATTAACTGATATGCATATTTTTTGTTTATCAGAAAATTTCTTAGTATAAGTAAAAGTATTTGAATGAGAACACTATAGAACACTAAAAATCTGTGATATTATCAATGATATTTCGTCAGATAGTAACAAAAATCAGAACTTCAGAATATTTGATATTTTAGATGGAAAAATTAGGATATATTAAGAGTTTTGATACAATATTAAACAAGGAGATTACCACAAGAGGCAAAAGGTAGACACATGATGAGGTCAAATTCAACTGGTAACTATTGAGATCTTCTAATTTGATTAAAATTCATAGGTATGACTCCTCTATCTATATTTTTAATTTGAAGCCATAGCCTTTTCTGTCCATATATCTCTCTTTTTCATGATTGATCTCTATATTATGGATAAAACACAAAATACTGTATCCTAATAAAAGAATCAGAATTGCACATAATCAACATATTTCAACAATCACTATAACAGGGTGTCCCTAAAAGCTCTGTGCAAAATCTTAGCACATAGTCCTGATGTCAATATAAATCGATTTAACGCAACTTACTTCAGTCCGAAATTGCTCCGTTTCCGAGACACAAGGCGATTCATTTAAAAAATGAAAATCTACAAGTACCGGGTGATTCACCATAAATATGTCCCCCATCCAGCTCAGTTATTTTCGAACCGATTACATAATTTGAAAAATCTTCTTATATAATTTTTCATGTTTTTTTTCGCTACATCAGAAAATAAAGGGTGTTCGGGTCAAACTATCTTCAGGGAACTAATTAATTTTTTTAAATAGGACACCCTGTATTTAATTTCACAATCAGTTGAATCTAACAAAAACGGGTATGATGGGGTCATGTCAAACGACTACGAAGACATATCCGATGTTCTCTTATTTACTTATGTTCAAGATTGACACTGACGGTGACGATTATGCAGAATACAGGATATTCTATAAAAAACATAACCCTTACAGGCCAACTCATTGAGTCAACCACATTGAACGTGATATAATCACTCCAATTTTGGAGAAAGATAGCTCCCAAAACATTAAGGACTATAGGCCATTCGCTGAACCCTCTGTAATATCCAAAATATTAGAGTATGCTATGAGTCATCAGAAAAAATTTAGAATAAGCAGTGACAATAATGACAAGGTTTTTGTACACAGCATTTCAGTCGCGCTTTCGACTGTGTTGACCACAACATCCTACTGGATATGTTATATAGATGTGGAATTAGAGGCAATGCTTATGATTGGTTCAACTCCTATTTGAAATATAGATCTCAAATGGTCAAGATATATGGATCTCGAACTTCTACTTTTTCATCGACTGAAATTAATGCACCATGGGTTCCTCAAGGCTCTATCCTCGGTCCAGTTTTGTTCACCTTAAATTTTAATGACTCACCACTAATTTTATCTGATACTTTTATCACATTATATGCTGATGATTCTACATTACAAATTCGTAATAGGGCCAGTGACGTAGTATGAAAGTAGGTATTTGTTGATTAAACTATTATTTAAATTAATTGTAAATGATCACTGTGATTGTAAAAAAATAGATCTTCACTTTGAATGGTTTCCATTATTTTTAATTCATTTATTCACATGTTTATTAACTTGTTTATTTTTTATGTTGAACTGTGACTATTTGTTCATCTACACTGTATGTTATATGTGTATTTATATACCTGTTGTATTTCTTAATATATGTTTTTATATATTTCTGAATGTAAGAGCAAGAGGACGAAGATTTTATTCATTTCTTTTTTTTTTTGAGATTTTCATTGAACCAATATCTTTTTTAAATTCTTATGTAGGTCCTTCCTTTAAACAAAGCATTTTTTTTTCGATACATATATTTTTGTTAAGCCATTCAACTTACATGAACCAGTCAGCATTGTCATATACTTTACACAAAAGGATGAACACAAAATAAAACTATAGTATTACCACAGGTATAATACTTACAGACAATATCACGTTATTACAGCATTGGAGAACATTTCGTACACACTTCGTTACATATTTATTCTTTTTTTTTATTCATTTATTTCTTCAAATTATTTGTTCATACATATGTCGATTCCAGACTAACAAATTCTTTTAATTTTTACTATTTTAATATGGCTTTGTTTACGAGATTTTCAACTTTTGACAATGAAGTATATTTTGATTGATTGATTGATTGATTGGTGTTTTTGAACTTCGTTGATTCGCAACTTTTTTATTGGCAACTTTTAGAAATTATATCTATTTTGATGAGTTCTACATCTCGTGAATAGCCTCACTTTTGAGAATACCCTGTATAATGAGACATATATAAATATGAGTGTTCAAAACAAAATATATGAGTAGAAAAAGCTAGTGAAATGAGTGTAATTCTATTACTTTCAGAGTTTCACTATGGCCTGCCATTGAACTCATTTAAAACGTTCTGAATTATTGAATCTAGAAGTTTGCGTCCATAATCTGCTATTATAGATCCATGTCAAGAATACAAAAGTACTGCAGCAAATGTCAAACTTTGAAATGTTGTCAATTTCGAAATAGAAGACCCTATTTGTAACAAATAATAATAAAAATACTTCATTGAACAACAATGACGAAATGACTATCGACGGAAGTCCTTCTGCCACTGTTTGTAAGTAACATCCAGAAAAATATTGAATTCGAGGATATCTGGTCAGATTTGGATACTACAAACAACTGTGAAAATATGGGTGAAAAACTATAACTTAACTCTTTCCATAACATATATCAGCTGTCTTCACAAATATCCTAGTTGGACCCAGACTTTCTGTTGCCACAATCATTGGTGACTGACTTGTTGCTTGAGGAAGTAAGACAGCTGCCAACATGCCAGTCGTTGTGAGTAAAAGAGCTCCATTGGCTGGTCTTCCCCCAAACTGTTTGACAGAACAGGCAAACTTGACATGTTGGAATTTATCGATGTATGAAGGACTGTCCTTCTTATCTGAATTAAGGCAGATCTGAAAAATATGAATTTACTTGCATATTATTGTACTGACCATTTCAAAATTATATCAAGAGCATATTGCAATGTTCTTAGCAGTGTTAGATATACCAATGAGCTTATTATGCTCAAGCATAGGGCCCGGAGCCCAACAGGGGCCCAGCAGGGCCTCCGTTATTTTTTGACTACACAATATTGTGTTTTATCACCATTCTATTAAAAAATATGTTCATGGAAATTGGAGTGAGGAATAATGTACGTTTTCGTAAGTTTTTGAAAGAGATAATAGTTATTTATTATACAAGGGAAAAAAGTAGTAGATTTTAGCTCCAGGTTGTGTTGTCTCCCGACGCGTAGCGGAGGGAGACAAAAAACCGTGAGCTAAAATCTAATATTTTTCCCGTGTATAATACACTATTTTTTTCTGTGACAGAAGGAAGGACGAATCAATATTGAGAAGATATTACATTATTTCGAAATCTGAAAATTATCGACGTGAAATTTCAAGTTTTTAACAGTAGGGACACCTGCGTTTTATAGGCATCTTTATCATTCTTTTGAAGTAATCAAATATCTGATGTCACTTCTGTCAGTTCAATTCTGTGATTTGATTTGAAAAAATTGCGAATTCAGTAGTTGTTTAGTAATATACGAAACCGCGAAGTCGAATGGAAGATAAAAGGACTTGCAGTTCTTTCTCGGAGACGGTATTATTGACTCATTTTTCGGAACTATAGCACAACAAAAGCCATTAACAGAGTATATATATGTGATATATATCCGGGAAAAAAGTACTCACTTTTTTCCCACGGGAAAAAAGTAATTTATGAAAAGTGACATTTTATAACCTGCCAACAGAGATAAAATGCCAAACTTTTTTCCCGTCACAGAAAAAATATTTTTTTTTTTTTAATATATAAGTCAATTACTGTCTAGGTTAATCAAGGAGGTGGTACATTCATTATTCCAGATTTTTTTTGGGATTCTCACTCCTCGTTTCTAATAAATGAAAATATGAATACTATTTCAATACACGTGTACGTGATTTTCCCCAAAATGTCACTGCGTTTAAAGAATTTTCCTATCAGAGAGCCTAGTAGAAATATTCACTAGCTCGTCAGTGACAATTTGTATTGAAAATGGTTTGGAAAAGAAAAATAAAGGAATATAAAAAAAATATCAAGTTTTCACTTATCTTTGGACGTTTCGTGAACGAATCTGCTCCCATTTTCAACATAAAAAATTGATTTTTTGTATGGCAAATTCGTATTTGACTTGACACTTCTCAGTTCTCAGTGACAATTGGTTACGTTGGTAATCAAATGAAAACACAAGGTACACTGTGAATACAATTTTTTGACGATTGTTCTTCATTTTTCGGTTTTGTTGGAGTTAGAATTGATCTCATTGTATTTTCAAGGTCAACCACAACAAAATCAACCATCAATAACGACAAATATAATACCATTTATTCCCGGCATATCTAAAAAAATAAAACGTGATTGGTGATAAATTTCGAGTGAAAACTGTGTTCAAAACTGAAAATACAATGAGATCAATTCTAACTCAAACAAAACCGAAAAATAATGAACAATCGTCAAAAATATGTATTTACAGTAGATATTGGGTTTTTTTGGAAAGTTTTATACAGGTGAAACCAAGAGACCTCAGTACGGACGAAGGAACATAAATACAATATGAAGAAAAGGCACATCGACAAATCAAAACTAGCTGAACATATCCTTACTGAAGATGGACAAGATCTGGCAGAGTGGAATAATATTGAAATCATTGGAAAAGAAGATAACAACCAGAAGAGAAAAATCAAGGAATCTGCTTGCATTCTTCTGAACGGAGACAATAGCATTGCTTGATGTTAAGTTGATATAGATAAAACATGGTATTCACTACTGAAATCTGAAAATTAAAATGGTAAATTCAGGATTAATTAATGAAAACATTCTGTAACTCATTTGATTACCAACGTCACCAATTGTCACTGAGAACTCAGAAGTGTCAAGTCAAATACGAATCTTTTTTACGTTGAAAACGTTCCCGAAACGTCCAAAGATAAGTGAAAATTTGATATTTTTTCTATATACCTTTATTTCTCTTTTTCAAACCTTTTTCAATACAAATTGTCACTGACAAGCTAGTGAATTTTTCATTTAGGCTCTCTGATAGGAAAATTCTCTAAACGAAGTGACATTTTGGGGCAAATCATCTGATTTGTCCTCACTACACATATTGAAATAGTATTCATATTTTTATTTTATAGAAACGAGGAGAGAAAATCACAAAAAAAATGGAATAATGAATATAAGTCAATGTTGTATCTCCAAAACAATACAAAAAAAAAGAATTATAAGCTATACTCAGTTCTTAGTGTATTATTATATCTAATAAATTGTGTAAATAATGTTGTATCTCCAGAAAAATACCAAAAAAAAGAATTATATGCTATACTCAGTTCTTAGTGTATTATTATGTCTGATAAATTGTGTAGATAATGTTGTATCTCCAAAACAATACCAAAACAAAAAGAATTATATGCTATACTCAGTTCTTAGTGTAACATTATATCTAATAAATTTTGGATACAGTAGAGGGGACCCATACATTATAAATTCTTAAATTCACCGTGAATTTCATAAACGGAAAAAGTTATGCAGACTCTATAACTAGGCCATTTTGAGTTTCACTAAAAAGTAGGACAGGAACATGAAAACTACAAGACTCTTCAATAACAACCAAAAAACCTGGCAGTCTCGATCAAAATGGAATGCACTGTGCAGGGTAATCCATCAATAGGACCAACCCCCGTTCTCTCACTTGGAAATAAAGTATGCAGAAATTCAATGCTGTAATGACACCTATTCGCAGCCCTTATCAGGAGTTATACAGGGTGTTTCCTAGAAGCGTGTGGTACCAGGAAACCATTTTTTCAATGCTACTTTTGGGAGGGGTCATGTGAGCGAGCATGAATGATAGTACCATACGAAACAACTCATTTAAGCACTGTGCCGTTAGGAGCGGTGGAAATGAGTACAGAGTTGAATGAGAATAAATATAATCTGGTAGGACCTCATGCCATACAAAAATATCGATACTGAAAGCAAATCAAAACAAATACAAATCGTATTATCCACAGATTTCAATATTCTGAACCACTGCCATGTAAAAAAACGGTAGTTTTTTACTATGCCATGTAATAAACAGTAGTTTTTTACTACTGTTATTGCTTATCTAGGTATGGCTAAATTGTTTGTTATTGCACGATTTTGAGCACGATTTTTAGTTTGACATTGGTATCAAGTAGGGGTGGGCGATAATGATTTTGAAATATCGATTATCGATATTCATAATGTATCGATATTATCGATTATAACGATAATTATCGATAATGTCGATAATATCGATAATATCGATATTATCGATTATAACGATAATTATCGACAATGTCAATAATATCGATGATATCGATAATATCGATAATTTTTCTTCAAATTATTATCGATAATTATCGATAATTATCGATGATTATCGATAATTATCGATATATCGATAATTTTTCCCACCTTTAGTATCAAGCGTTTATTGGTCACTTTTATTTATTTGATGTTTTGTACCAAAAATGGCCCACGTTTATGAAAACAATGAACTAGTCGACATAATACATACGGAGAGTGCCAACAAAATGCAGCTGCAGCATGTCCTCTTTACGCGGAAAGGTTTCCTTAAAGAATGGGCCTGTACACCTCAGTAGAACTTTCAACTCAAACCATGTTTATAATGATCCTTTTATACATAAATAATGAATGACGACATAATTCGATCGAAAAATTTACTGGAATGTTTTTTTTTTGGACATACATAATAGTACCTTCTGAAAACGGACTCTCTTATGACATAGAAACCTCATCTCGCCATAGTTAAAAGAAAATACCAAACGCCCGACGGAGACTGAGGCAACTGATATATTAATTCTTTCAACTGTGATCTCGTGCTAATTCACTCTGTCAGAAGTCATGTATCATTCATCTTTGTCTGGAATAGTCTTGTTTCAGTATTATCGTTTTGACGTCACATCATCGCCTCGTTTTCAGAGGTCAGAAAAAACGTAGAAAGCTCACAGCAAGAAACGGTTCGCGGTGGTGAGCTAGTTTGAGTGAGTTCTATCGAATTATGCAATGAATTTTTTTGTGATATAAGCCCATTCATCTGGCCCCACGGATGTTTACAAATTTAGTCATTAGACTTTGTGCTACAAGGTACTTAAGAGAACAACGTGGTGGTCACGCTGGAAGACCTGCTCCACCTGAAATGGTACAAATTGAGGAAGATATTTTGGAACTGGTCGAAGATGACCCAACGATAAGTACTAGAGCCATAGCAGTTCAAGTCGATGTTTCTAACAGTAAAGTGTGGAAAACAATACGACAGGAACAATATTATCCCTATCATTATCAAAGGATACAAGCACTACAACCTGAAGATCATCCTAGGAGAGTTGAATTTTGCCAGTAGCTTTTAGGACAGGTGAACAGAAATAAAAATGTTACACGAAAATAATTTTAGTTACAGACGAAGCCACATTTACATGAAATGGAATACACAATTTTCACAACAATCATGTTTGGGTAGTAGAAAACCCGCATGCCGTAACAAGATGTCATTTTCAACATAGATTTTCATTGAATGTTTGGGCTGGCGTAGTAAATGGCATGCTTATTGGACCATACTTTTTTCCACCTCGGCTAACCGGTGACATTTATTTACATTTTCTTCGACATAATCTACCAGAATTATAAGAGGATGTTTAACTGAATGTAAGGCAGTTTAATAATATGTGGTTTCTCCATGACGGAACTCCATCGCATTTCAGAAGAGGAGTTTATGAACATTTAACACTCTGGCTGCCGGAACCCTCTTTTTCTCTCCCTATTACAGGCTTTGTCAGTCATATGTGACCGACGGTGACTTATAAAAGACGGTGCTTGCCAGTGATTTGTGAAC